TGATTTATTAGCACAGATTGAACGTTTGGGTGGTCCGATCTTCAACTCTAATCCTGATTGAGCTATTCTGAACTTTCAGTGGAAAAACTACGTCATCAGGGGGGAGGGGCGGGGGCTAGAGGAGTGACACACGGTGTAGACGGGTGGGCAACTTCAAGAATTTCTCTCTAAGGGGCATTTAGTGCGACATTTGGCAACATGACGGTTCTAGGGTCTCAAGACCCCGCTGAATCCGAATCCGGATGTTGCCAAGCCGAATTTTGCCTCCTAAGGTCATAAATCCAAGATGGCGGCCAAAATAAGGGCTTAAGTGACGATTTTTCGAAAGTGTATCGATTTTATCCGGAGACGTGTCGTTTCCTACGTTTTCGGGGTCGCTGAACACGAATATAAGCACCGGAAGTCGATTCGGTTACCGGAAGTACCGTAATTCAAGATGGCGGCCAGCCGGGGCCTAAATACGAAACCTGTAGAAGTTTGTGCATTGGCAAGTGCGGGGTATCGGCGCATACGTTTTTCGTGTCAACTAATCCGAAAATGAGCACCATAAATCGATCCGGCAACCGGAAGTGCCGAAATCCAAGATGGCCGCCAGTTAGGGCCTAAATACCGTGCTCGAAAAAGTTGCGGCTTTACGGCGTGCGGGGTATGGCCACATATGTTTTCGCGGTCGCTGAACACGAATATGGGTACAGAATAGTGATTAAAACGTGTCAACACAGGTCCAAAGAAATATAAGGGTGTAAAACATATTTCAGGAGCAAAATTATTCAAATCGTCAGCGGATTCCCGCCCCGAGTTCTGATTGACTGTGTGCTGCCGTCTAGCGGTGGCACTTGGAAGCTCGAAGCTCGGGGTATTCCCCTCCTGTCAGGTGGCCTGTCTTTGTTGTGATATTATTGAATGGTGAAATGAATGTGAAATGTGTGTTGTTGAGTGTTGTAATGTTGTGTGACTTGTGACAAGATACGATTCAGATGTGAGGGCGTCACACGCCACATCAACATTTGTGAAACAGGTACGTTGTGCTATAAAGTTTCGATGTGTCATTTCCTAACCTCTCCGTGCGCATGGACAAAGCAGATAATCTGTTCCGTTTAGCGTGTCCTTTTTTTAACCCTTTGACTGAACGTTCGTTGTACGTCCTGTGGTACACCTATTTATACTAATTTTTTCTCTTGACCAATCCCTATAGGCTATAGTTTAATTTTAATATGGAGCCTCTTACGCGCCTGGCTAACCCTGATGTAAAAAATTCATGCATACTATGTCAAAAAAGATTGACTGAGAATTTAACATCCTGTAGTGATGCAAGCTTTAAAACACTAAAAAATGCAGCAAGCAGACGTCAAGAGTTAAATGACGAAAAAAATGCTTCTAGGATCGAGAGGATTCTGAGTCAACCCGAGGAGGCTGTGTCATGTTTGCTTTATCATAGGACTTGTTATCAAGATTTCACAAATAAGAGCAAGATTGACAGACTCGTCAAAGAGCACCAGAAAAGAGTCACCCAAGATACTGAACCAACACCTGCCAGAGTTTTAAGATCCGATCCAATGGCTCGAACGGACAAGAATCTCTGTGTCTTCTGCCAGGTTAGTAGGCCGGACTTAATAGCTGGCCCCGAGGGGCC